AGCAAAGTTACTGGTTATGGGTGATTTCAACCACAGGGAGATCGATTGGGAAAACCTGGAGCCTCATGGGGTCTCAAAACATGGAGAGCCAAGATGATGGATGTCGTACTGGAAAACCTCATACATCAACACGTCATGGTCACTACCAGAGAGAGAGGGGAGGATGAACCAGCAGGACTGGACCTTGTGTTCACCCTGAGCAGTTCAGATATTGGGACATCACATATGAGAGGCCCCTTAGAGCTAGTGATCACGTGGTTCTGTGTATTGATTACATAGTACAGTTACAAGTGGAGAGGGTAACAGGAGTCTAATGGGAAAAGCCAGACTATAAAAGGGGGGACTACACAGGTATGAGGAACTTCTTGCAGGAGGTTCAGTGGGACAGAGAACTGGTAGGAAAGTCAGTAAACGAAATGTTGGAATATGTAACAACAAAATGCAAGGGGGCAGAGGAAAGGTTTGTTCCCAAGGGCAACAGAAATAATGGGAAGACCAAAGCGAGTCCTTGGTTTACCCGAAGGTATAGGGAGGTATAAACTAAGTGCACTAGAGAAAGGAAAAGGTGCAGAAGGCAAAGGACCCAGGAAAATAAGGAGATCATTCGAAGAGCCAGAAAGGAGTATGCACAGATAAGGAAAGAGCCCCAGCGAGAGTACGAAAACGACATAGCATCGAAAGTCAAGTCTGACCCGAAACTGCTGTATAGCCACATTAGGAGAAAGACAACAGTCAAAGACCAGGTGATCAGGCTGAGGAAAGAAGGTGGGGAACTCACAAGTAACGATCAAGAGGTATGTGAGGAGCTCAACACGAGATTTAAGGAAGTATTTACGGTGGAGACAGGAAGGCCATGGGGAAGACAGAACAGAGGGGGACTCAAACAAGGAATATACCAACAAGTGTTGGATGACATACACGCTACTGAGGAGGAGGTGAAGAAACTGCTAAGTGACCTTGATACCTCAAAGGCAATGGGACCGGATATCTCCCCGTGGGTCCTTAGAGATGGATCAGAAATGCTGTATGTGCCACTAACCACAATCTTCAACACTTGAAACTGGGCAACTACCTGAGGTATGGAAGACGGCAAATGTAGTTCCCATTTTTAAAACAGGAGACAGAAAAGAGGCATTAAACTACAGAACTAGAGTATTAACAACAACCAGCACGGATTCATGGAAGGCAAATCCTGTGTCACAAACCTTCAGGAGTTTTGTGATAAAGTAACAGAAGTAAGACACGAGAGAGAGGGGTGGGTTGATTGCATTTTCTTGGACTGCAAGAAGGCCTTCGACACAGTTTCTTACAAGAGATTAGTGCAGAAACTAGAGGATCAGACGTGTATAACGGGAAAGGCACTACAACGGATCAGAGAATACCTGACAGGGAGGCAACACGAGTCATGGTACATAATGAGGTACCACAGTGGGCACCTGTGACGAGCGGGGCCCCACAGGGGTCGGCCCTAGGACCATTGCTGTTTTTGGTATATGTGAATGACACGATGGAAGGGATAGACTCAGAGGTGTCCCTGTTTGCAGATGATGTGAAGTTAATGAGGAGAATTAAATCAGATGAGGATCAGGCAGGACTTCAAAGTGACCTGGTCCAGCAACTGGCTTCTCGAATTTAACCCTGCCAAATAAAAAGTCATGAAGATCGGAGAAGGGCAAAGAAGATCGCAGATGGAGTATAGGCTAGGTGAGCAAAGACTGCAAACCTCGCTCAAGGAAAAAGATCTTGGGGTGAGTATAACACAGAGCACGTCTCCGGAAGCACACATCAACTAGATAACTGCTGTAGCATATGGGCGCCTGGCAAACCTGAGAACAGCGTTCCGATGCCTAAGTAAGGAATCTTTCAAGACACTGTACACCGTGTACATCAGGCTCATACTGGAATATGCAGCACCAGTTTGGAACCCACATCGGGTCAAGCACGTTAAGAAATTAGAGAAAGTGCAAAGGTTTGCGACAAGGTAAGTACCAGAGCTAAGGGGAAGGTTGAGGGAAATCGGCCTGATGACACTGGAGGACAGGAGGGTTAGGGAAGACATGATAACGACATACAAAATACTGCGTGGAAAAGAAAAGGTGGACAGAGACAGGATGTTCCAGAGAGGGGACACAGAAACCAGGGGTCACTCTTGGAAGTTGAAGACTCAGATGAGTCACAGGGATGTTAGGAAGTATTTCTTCAGGCATAGAGTGGTCAGCAAGTGGAATAGTCTGGAGAGTGATGTAGTGGAACAGGAACCATACATAGCTTTAAGACGAGATATGATAAAGTACATGGAGCAGGGAGAGAGGGGACATAGTAGCGTTCAGTGAAGGAGCTGAGTATCGACCCCTGCAACCACAATTAGGTGAGTACACACACACACATACACACGCACTCTCGCGCGAACGCTCTTGTGGCTCTTGGGAACCATGGAACTGTCATTTTTTTTAAATTAAAGAGAGTAGAAAATTGGGAACAAGATATAATTAAAAAAGAAAACCCGAAAATTTTCGAAAAGTCGTGTTTTTATGGCGTTTTAAAGTTTAACGGATTTAGTGAGTCCATTATGTTTACTTCTCACGCTGCTGCACTAGAAGGCCGGTAAGAAATTCTTGAGCAGTTTTTCCTTGTTTCTCCAATGTTTCCATGTGATAACTCAAGAACAACTCTGCTTATTTACTCTCAACTTTCAGCGTAGGTACGTCTTACCTAGAAGAAGGTTGCGGCTTTTATTACGAGGTGTTGGTGCCAATTTACCAATTTAATACATGTAAATAGTGCACTGACGTCTGCGAGACAAACTGAGAACACCTTCTCTCATATGTATAAAATTTTAAATATAGGTAAATCCTCCTTTGAAGATTTGGATTGATAATTTAGTGTGTGGGATTCAATTGGCTCTTTTTATTTAAAATTTGTATGACATTTTAGTAAGTAAGCAAGTTAATTTAGGCACAGGTACACATAAGTGCAATTATTATACATGATGTAAATTAACTAGGATAACCCCCCCCCCTCCTTCCGCAAAATAAAATAAAAATTTAGTGACTTATTTCCATCGTGAGATCATTATTGAATGGTACCTCCCAGCTGTAGCAGACGTTAAGTACCATTACATTTACTCACATTAAAGTCTGTTTTGTTACTTAATATGTAAAACCTAATTTGCCAATATTATTAAAGTAGTTGAGTGAACACGCGTGTGTATGGTGGCCAGCCAGTTATTCCACGCAGAAATATTCATGGCCAACGTCGCGAGCGTGTTCCGCCAGCCAGCGGGCGACGCCGACCAGACGGCGAAGAGGACGAAGAAACTTTGTCGTCTGGAAAGTGATCTATCTCTCCATTTCGCTTGAGTTATTAAGATTATGAGAGGGAAATTATTTTTCAGATAGAATTATAATTAATCTCTGCATACCAGAGATTAATTATGATCCCCATTCCCCAGAAAAATCCACTTACCATGTACTAGCCATTAAGTGTGACCTGTGTGACGAAGAACTAAATAACACTAATAATTTCATTTAAGGTTTAAAGCTGGGAAATGGGAAAGTACATACGTATATTTGCATACGTTATTGTTAAAAAAAGATTTATTTATTGTGTTTATGCCTGATTCTGTGGTATAATCTCTGACTATCACTCTACACAGGATGTGAGACACACCACAACCAAACATATTATATCTAGAACCAGAATTTCATTAACATTGTGTCCCAAACCAGAGCTGTAATTAACTTTTTTTTCTCATATTTATTTTATATTTCACCGTCGTTCCGTCAACTTATTGACTTTTTTGGACAAACTGACTGCTAATATAAGCACTTAATCATAATTCCATTGCAACATCTTTAAACGCTCTTACGTCTGGCAGTGTAACTCCTCTATCTGAAATTTTGCTTTGTGTCATTATTTTTTAATCTATCAACTATTTTTCATTTAATTTAAATAATTTTATCTTCAGTGTTGTATATACCCAAAACATTTAAAATATTATTAACCCCTCATTTAGGACCAATGAACAAATGATGCGTGTAAAACTTTTAATTCCTGAACTAGGCAACTTAAATTCTTGTACATCCTAGTAAAATATAATATATGTGAGAGGCTGTGACAGGTTGAGGAGACGAGCAGTAGATGGTGCGACGAGCAGTGGATGGTGCGACGAGCAGTGGATGGTGCGACGAGCAGTGGATGGTGCGACGAGCAGTGGATGGTGCGACGAGCAGTGGATGGTGCGACGAGCAGTGGATGGTGCGACGAGAAGTAGAAGGTGCGACGAGCAGTGGACGGTGCGCAGACACATTATCAGAGGAAAATACTGAGAGCGGAATGACATGTGTTCTGAGTTGATCTGTGTGTCTGTGTCAGACACCACTCTGAGTTGACCTGTGTGGCTGTGTCAGACACCACTGAACTTATTCACTCATACTTAACACAGGTAAGACATGTTTATTGTGTTAAAACCCACATGAGTTTATGGCTTTTATGTGTTTAAAAATTAATTAAACTGGTGATTAAGTTATCGTGTTCTATTTATCTATAAAAAATAATGTTAAGTCACAGACAACTAGCCAACATTAACATGGTACTAGACCTTGCAACATTAACATGTTACTAGGCCTTGCAACATTAACATGGTACTAGACCTTGCAACATTAACATGGTACTAGACCTTGCAACATTAACATGTTACTAGGCCTTGCAACATTAACATGTTACTAGGCCTTGCAACATTAACATGTTACTAGGCCTTGCAACATTAACATGTTACTAGGCCTTGCAACATTAACATGTTACTAGGCCTTGCAACATTAACATGTTACTAGGCCTTGCAACATTAACATGTTACTAGACCTTGCAACATTAACATGTTACTAGGCCTTGCAACACAAGTATGACTCACATAACAGATGGTTTAACAAAACATTCTGCAGGTTAAATATATCCTAGTAAAATATAATATATGTGAGAGGCTGTGACAGGTTGAGGAGACGAGCAGTAGATGGTGCGACGAGCAGTGGATGGTGCGACGAGCAGTGGATGGTGCGACGAGCAGTGGATGGTGCGACGAGCAGTGGATGGTGCGACGAGCAGTCGATGGTGCGACGAGCAGTGGATGGTGCGACGAGAAGTAGAAGGTGCGACGAGCAGTGGACGGTGCGCAGACACATTATCAGAGGAAAATACTGAGAGCGGAATGACATGTGTTCTGAGTTGATCTGTGTGTCTGTGTCAGACACCACTCTGAGTTGACCTGTGTGGCTGTGTCAGACACCACTGAACTTATTCACTCATACTTAACACAGGTAAGACATGTTTATTGTGTTAAAACCCACATGAGTTTATGGCTTTTATGTGTTTAAAAATTAATTAAACTGGTGATTAAGTTATCGTGTTCTATTTATCTATAAAAAATAATGTTAAGTCACAGACAAACTAGCCAACATTAACATGGTACTAGACCTTGCAACATTAACATGTTACTAGGCCTTGCAACATTAACATGGTACTAGACCTTGCAACATTAACATGGTACTAGACCTTGCAACATTAACATGTTACTAGGCCTTGCAACATTAACATGTTACTAGGCCTTGCAACATTAACATGTTACTAGGCCTTGCAACATTAACATGTTACTAGGCCTTGCAACATTAACATGTTACTAGGCCTTGCAACATTAACATGTTACTAGGCCTTGCAACATTAACATGTTACTAGACCTTGCAACATTAACATGTTACTAGGCCTTGCAACACAAGTACGACTCACATAACAGATGGTTTAACAAAACATTCTGCAGGTTAAATATATATTTTTGTAGATGCAGAGCGTCGCGTGCGCGCACGCACACACTCGTGCCCGTCACACAAACACACACACACACACGTACATATATTCACATTCGCTAACGAGTCATGCACTAAGCTTGTACGAACATAAGAAAGGAGGAACACTGCAGCAGGCCTGTTGGCCCATACTGGGCAGGTCCTTCACAAGTCCAACCCATTTGTAATATTTTACAATTAAGAATAAAACTAAGTATGCCCGAAATGCCTAGCCATGCTAAGCGTTCTAGTGGTACACTCTGTAATCACAATTTTACTACATGTAAACCAAACAATAACCAAATTTCTGTAAACTCAGCATTGTAATCCTTATAGAGAATAAACTTTGAATTGAATTGAATTGAATTGAACTAACAGAATATTTGCCCAACCCACTTTAGTTCCTGCATCATAAGGATGCAGGATTGCACTCCACTTGGATTCCCAACAGTTGCACAATCCAGGACAACATGGGTTCAGAGCAGGTCGCTGCTGCCTCTCGCAACCACTATGATATGGTCTTGGATGCACTGGAAAACAGAATACAGATTTTTCAAAGGTCTTTGACAAGTGCGATCATGATGTAATATCGCAGAAAATGAGTGCTAAAGGGATAACTGGCAAAGTGGGCAGATGGATCTCCAACTTCCTAACCAATCGAACACATATAGTAGTGGTAAACAGAGTTAAATCGGAAGCTGCCATAGTGAAGAGCTCTGTTCCACAAGGCACAGTACTCGCCCCCATTCTGTTCCTTATCCTCATATCAGACAGAGACAGAGATGTAAACCATAGCACCGTATCATCCTTTGCTGACGATACTAGGATCTGCATGAGAGTGTCATCCATCAAGGACACGGTAAATCTCCAAGAAGATATAAACAAGGTTTTCCAATGGGCAACGGAGAACAATATGTTGTTCTATGCAAACAAATTCCAACTATTCCGTTGTGGAAAACTGAAGAAAACAATAGCTAGAACTGAGTATACTACAAACTCTAACCGCACAATAGAGTGGAAAAGTAATGTGTAAGACCTGAGAGTGGTAATGTCTGAGGCTCTCATCTTCAAGGATCATAACAATGCCACTGTCACACCTACAAGGAAACTGATAGGATGGATAATGAGAACATTCAAAACAAGAAATGCCAAACCAATGATGATCCATTTCAAATCACTTGTTCTCTTTAGGCTGGAATACTGCTGTACATTTACATCTCAGTTCAAGGCAGGAGAAATTGCAGATCAAGAGAATATACAGAGAACCTTTACTGCACATATAAGTTCCGTCAAACACCTTAACTACTGGGGACACTTGGAAGCACTTGACTTGTACTCACTGGAGCGCAGGCGAGAGAGATATATCATAATCTACACCTGGAAAGTCCTGAAGGGATTGGCCCCTAGTCTGTACACAGAAGTCACTCCCTACGAAAGCAAAAGACTTGGCAGGCGATTAAACATATCCCTAATGAAAAGTAGGGGCGCCATTAGTACACTAAGAGAAAACACAGTAAGTGTCCGGGGCCCAATACTTAAACAGCCTCCCACCAGCCGTAAGGGAAATTACCAATAGACCTCTGGGTGTCTTCAAGAGGGAGCTGGACAGATACTTATAGTCAGTGCAGGTTGTGGTTCGTACGTTGGCCTACGTGTGGCCAACAGTAACGGCCTAGTTGATCAGGCCCTGATCCACTGGGAGGCCTAGTCATGGACCGGGCCGCGGGTTGATCCCCGGAATACCCTCCAGGTAGGCAGGCAGGTGGCGGCGGGGCGTAGGTTTGACCTGGTCACACAAAGTAATGGTCTATGGCATCCTTGATACGTTGTTGAGCAACCTTGGCCTTTGTGTGCTGCAAGGCGACTGCTGGGGTTTCATTCACATACATAGCTCTATGTGGAAAGTTCAATATAAGTGGCACTAAACTGTCGGTGGTTCTGGAAAAATTGTGCCAGTGGTCTTGGTCACACAGCAACATTTCCCCCATGATATGGAGTTGTTTGATTGGGGTGCTTTAAAGGAGCAGACATTACTAAATTAATCTAATAAATTATGAGTGGACAAACGATTGTTCCATCGAACGTAAACATATGTGGACCTACTGCTTATCCTCAACGAATGCGTTTGGTGCTGCCTTGACTTTTTACTAACCGATCAACAAAGCTATTAGGACTACCAAAACTGGCACCTCTGTGCAGCCATTCGTCCTCAGTTCTAAGAGAAGACACCAGTTACACCAACATGACGTGACAGGGTATGAACTCATGGATTGCCAAACATCCAGTTCATAGTTTGCTCAGCAACATACGGATTAATGATGCATTCTCTGTCACAATACGGACTGGATACTGATAAATGATGTTTCGAAAAATTTTTGAGTCCATACAATGACTAAAGTTTCCTTCTTAGTGAGTCAGTAATCACTTAGTGAGTCAGTAATTACTTAGTGAGTCACTAATTACTTAGTGAGTCAGTAATTACTTTAAGCTTCAGTCAATACTCGTCTTTCAAGCACAAAGGGAGTTGCACTTGTTATCAGTCTTTTGCACTACTACAACATCTGTGTCAGTAGCTCTAGGATCTGTTGCAAAGTAAAAACCTTTCTCAAAATTAGGAAATACAAAAGTAGGAGCTGACATGAGCTTTGATTTTAGTGTCTGAAGTGCTCTTTTTGACTGCAAGTTCATTTGAAAGGAGCATCTTTTTTTGAGTAAGTCTGTAAAGGGAGCTTTAGGTTAGCATCAGCTAGTTCCTCCAGTACCAATATGAATATGATCACGGTATACAGTACTGACAAGTTGATAAGTAAGACACATGAGCGGCAGTTGGATATCTTTATTCCGAAATGTTTCGCCTACACAGTAGGCATCTTCAGTCGAGTACAGAAGAGACGTTTCGGAATAAAGATACCTATTAGAAACAGTACCGATTCAATGGTCAAGATGGGGCTCGTCTTCTTCCCGATGACGATACGGATAGCGGATGAGATCCACCAGCTTGGTGTAAGTCTTGAGACGGACAATGCTGCCAGCGGAGTTTGCGGCTAAAGGATGGACTTTACTGTCTTTCTATAGCATTCAAGACTGGTTCTACGAATAAACCCTTCACATTGCATAAATCATTATCAATAACACCATGACCACTTCGTGAACAAGAGAAACAACTGAAATGCGCCTAAGTGTACTAACCGCTAGAGAAGTGTCTTTCTGTAGCCGGCCAATGATGCTCACAAGAGCAGGGATAACCTGGGTCATATAGCCACTTACCTTCAGGAATGACCACTCAAAACAGCAGCCATCACAGAATGAGTCCTGGATCTTAAGTCTGTCTGGGCGACCCGTACCTGGAGTCTACCTGGATGGTTTCGGGGGGTCAACGCCCCGGCGGCCTAGTTCTTGTCCAGGCTTACATGACATTTGAGGCATCCGCAAACTCTCCTGAAACAAGAAACTGGAACATTAGGACTCAAAAAGGGCGACACGGCATTTTTAGTGCCAGACCCCTCCTACCTAACACAGGATAATGACCAATCAGATCACATCATAACAGTTCACTTTACACAGATAATTCATCAGGCCCATGAAATCGGCTATGTGAACATCAGGGACACTAACTTGGTAGTAATTATTAAGGTAATTACGTGATATACTGAAAATGAGGGATTTGTGATCGCTTTCCCCAAGATCATCATTAACCTCAAGATTATTAATTAGTGATTCCTTGTTATAAATAACTAAGTCACACTCTGCTTTAAAAAAACAGTCCTGGATTGTATCAAGAAAGTCAGTAAACTAAAAAAAAAATTCCAGTTAAATTGCTCCAATTAATTTGGCTAAAGTAAAAATCTCTTATTATTTTTTATCTAGATGCCTTAGTAATTTCGTCCTATAAAAGTTCACCACGTTCCCTATCAAAGTTAGGAGGTCTGTATATCATACTCAAGATTTGTTTTTCACTTCTCTCCAGAAACTGTAGCCAAACAGATTCACTATCCGTCGCTTCCACTTTTATATCGTTTTTAACACAACATTTTAAATTATCTCTGAATACATCGCCACTCTGTTGACCCTGTCGGTGTAGAATAATTTATAGCCTATGTGGCATTCAGAAGGAATTTCTAACTCTTTCAGGTTGAACCAGGTCTCTGTTTTGCGAATAATATCTACGCTTCCTGCACATGTAATTAATCTTAGCTCGTTAATCTTATTTTATTACGTTCCTGCTATTAATACTGTAGACCTTAATGGAGTTAGTCACTCGCTGCCCTTGACTATCTCTTCCATTTGCTGATGAAGTCTATTATTTTTATTAATAACTTTATGATGAACAATGCCTTTTGAATATATCCCTGAGGTATCCTGGCAGTTTCTGGCGCTTTCATCCCTCGTACTGTAACCTATTTGTTTCCCACATACACCCATGCCTCTATCTACCATCAATTGAAAGTTCTAGACAGCACTGCAAAGGTCCCCCTCGATAGAGATTGCTAATGCTAACACCACTGCCCAGAGAGATACATCTAGTCCCTTGCGTGTGTCTCTTGTTTGCCATAGAATTTGTTCCACTTGTCAATGAATGGGATTTCAAGTCATTAATGTACTAATTTTAACAAATCTATTTTTATCCAGGTTTGGTGACACAATGAGAAGAGAAGCATGTGTAATGATGGAAGATCGTAATAGCACATCAACAAATCTGCATTCATTGGCCATGAACGGAGAGCTAGATGTTCTGGATCGTCTCCTACTTGATGGTGCTGATTGTAATGCACAAGACAGCTCTGGAAATTCTTCATTACATTATGCTGCCTATTATGGTCATCGTGACTGCTGTAAACGTCTTCTTCAGTGCCCTGGTTTGAAAGTGAATGCTGTAAATAATGATGAAAGTAGTCCTTTGCATTTTGCTGCTCAAAGAAACCATCTTGAAATAATAGAGCTTTTGATGTCAAATGGTGCAGACGTTAACCTGCGGAACAATGAAGAGAGTTTGCCATTACATTATGCAGCCAAGATTGGCTGTAAAGATTCTTGTCAAGCTCTGTTATCTCGTGTCAGCAGTGATGAGAGAGAAACTCACTTAAGAGCAACAGACGTTGAAGGAAAAACGCCTCTCATGCTGTCTGTTATGGGGGGTCATGAAATGTGCTTTGATGAATTGAAAAATACTGATATAAATATAAAGGACAAGGAGGGGAACACTGCTCTGCATTATGCTGTTATCAGTGGAAGTACAAATGCAGTTGAAAAACTTGTTAAAATGAAGGCTAATCGAAACGAAAAGAATAAAAATGGAACAACTGCAGTTCTTGCAGCAGCAAGTAAACAGATGTCTGCTTGCTTAAAGTATATTGCGGAAGAATATCCAAACTATCCATATATAACTAACGAAATTAGAGCTAACTTGTATGAAAAAGACAATAATAATAAAAACATTCTTCATTATGCAGCTGAAAAAAACGCTGAAAACTGCCTCAAATATTTATTTACTTACATAAAAAGAGAGGATATTCTTAATGACAGAGATAAGGATAAAAATACTCCACTTCATACTGCTTTAATATGTAACAATTTCGACTGTGCTCATTTATTACTTGAAGAAGGAGCATCACCAGTGAAGCGGGGACTGCAAGGAATGACACCTCTTCACCTGGCTGCTGACAAAGATTGTACAAGTATATGTGAGATACTCCTTGCAAACGCTGAAGTGCAAGTTAGTCAGGAGAATGATAACGGGGAAACAGCACTTCACCTTGCAGCTCGTCGTGGGTCAGTAGATATATGTCGAAGACTTCTACAAAAAGGAGCCTGTTTATCAGCAACTGATAAAAATGGCCAGACAGCACTCCACTCTGCATCAGTTAAAGGAAATGCCAGTGTAGTTAAATTTCTTATTAAAAGAGGCATACCCACACGGATTAAAGATAATTATGGTTCCACTGCTATGCACCTTGCAGCATCTGCGGGATCACTGGAATGTTGCCAGTTGTTAGTTGTCAGTGATGAAGAAATGCTCTGTGTTACAGACAAGAATGGAAGCTTGCCTCTAGACAGAGCTTTTGAACATAATCACGACAGTGTATTTAAATATCTTCTTCAACAGCTTCCTTACGACTCCGACGAAAAGCGGATGATCTGTTTACATCAGTACGCTTTTCAAGCCTTGGAGACTAACAGACCGTAAGTAAACTGAGAATAATATAAAAAATGGTAAGTAACCCATCTCATACACATAATATATATACATACATTCGTATATGTAAGAATTATACCAGTACAATCCCATGTATTAAGTCTAAATTATTTTAACTATATTATTATTATTATTATTATTATTATTATTATTATTATGCTTACGGGGAAGAGCTAAATCCATAAGGGTCATTCAGTTCGCAAAGAATGGGAGGCAATGAAATTTAATTTGAGGACGTGAAGGAAAGATCCATTTTTCTTGATCAAGAGCCCTATACTAAAATCAAGGCACTCCTGTTCGCACTTGCTCAAATTTTTCACATTGGTGTATCTTGCTAAAACAATGGTTGGTATACTTATTGTTGAAGCCAGTTTCCTAGTAATTTGAAGGACAACAAAAGAGGGAACATTCAGCTTGGGATTACTAACGAAAACTAAACTCATTGTACTTATTCTCTAATGCCTCAATTATTC